CGCAACTTAAAAATAAACTGACGAAAAGTCTGCGCAACGATCGTGAACAGTGGTGGGCAGCAAAGGCTAAAGAGATGGAAAAGGCAGCGGCGATCGGTAACAGTAGACAGTTATTTAGACTTATTAAGGAGACTGGGGGGAAATGGTCAACAACAGTTAGTGAGGTTATAGCGGAGAAGGACGGATCTGCGATTCACTCGCAGGGGAGACGATGGGCAGAACACTTTGAGGAACAGTTTAACTGGCCTCCAGCCACCATTGCGCTGCCCGCTATCCAGTCGGACCCTGAATGGGACATAGAGACAGGTCCCCCAACACTAGAAGAAGTTGAGAAAGCGGTAGGTAGCCTGAAACGGGGAAGGGCAGCAGGACCAGACGGACTACCTGCTGAGGTATACAAGAATGGTGGTAGAGTTCTCTTAGTCAGGCTAACGGAAGTGTTAGCCAGTATATGGGAATCAAATACGATCCCCTCCGACTGGTCTAAGTCACTGATCATCCCAGTCTTCAAGAAAGGCGAGAAGTCCTCTTGTGATAACCACAGAGGAATCAGCCTGACAAACATAGTGTCTAAGATCCTAAGTTCTATAATTCTCCGACGCCTGAGTGGAGCTCGGGAACAGCAAGCCCGAGAAAACCAGGCAGGCTTTAGACCTGGCCGTGGATGTATCGACCAAATATTCACACTGCGCCAGGTCCTGGAACATAGGCATGCTTACAGACGCCCGACAATAGCTGTATTTCTCGACCTGAAGGCGGCATTTGACTCCGTTGATCGAGAAGTCTTATGGCAGTGTCTGTCACTGAAAGGCGTGCCTAGTAAGTACATCACCTTATTGAAAGCTCTCTACTCGAACACTTGTGGGCATGTTAGAGCCTATGGTGAGTTGTCCAGGGAGCTATACTCATCAAGTGGTGTCCGTCAAGGATGCCCACTATCCCCATTCTTATTTAATTTTATCATAGATATTCTTATGGAGGTTTCCCTCTCGTCACCTAATTACAAAGACGTTGACCCGATCACAGGTGAATTTTCCTTAGATCTAGAATATGCAGATGACATAGTCCTGTTAGGTGAAGACGCTGACAAGATGCAGAGTCTTCTGAACACTTTGAGTGGGAATTTGAGAATGTTTGGGATGCGATTTTTGCTCCAGGACTGGTCTTCAGCGGTACCGCGGTTAACAATAGAGAGTGAAGTGGTTGAGTGTGTTGACCACTTCACTTACCTGGGAAGTAGGATCAACCCGGTGGGTTAGTTGCCGATGAGATTTCTGCACGGATACAAAAGGCTCGATTGGCTTTTGCCAATTTGCGCCACCTATGGCGCCGCCGTGATATTCGTTTGTCTATTAAGGGTCGCGTGTACTGCACAGCAGTCCGCTCTGTTCTACTGTATGGCTGTGAAACATGGCCATTGAAAGTGGAAGACATGAGAAGGTTACAGGTGTTTGACCACCGTTGCCTTCGTAGTATAGGACGTATTCCGTGGTGTCACCATGTGAGTAATGCAGAAGTTAGGTGTAGAGTTTTAGGGAGAAGAGGTAAGTCAGTCGACGAGGTTGTGAACCTTCATCGACTGAGATGGTTGGGACACGTACTACGTATGCCTAGTCACCGATTGCCTCGTCACACAATGTTGGCTGAGGTGGGTTCAGGCTGGAAAAAGGCCCGAGGTGGCCAGACTAAAACATGGCACCAATGTATGAAGTCTCTGACTGTTGGTTTAAGCCATGTAGGACGATGCAGACTAGGTGGTTGGGGTCCACGGGACAAGAGGAACCAGTGGTTGGAGACCCTAGGTGATATGGCTCAGAACCGAAGTCAGTGGCGCAGATGTATACACACATTATCCTCATCTTAACAACGCTATACCGAATCTCACTATTTTGTCACTCCTCTTTCCTTTCTTCTCGTACTTTATATTTCTTTTGACTGCATTCACTTATCTTCATCCTTCACCTCACTACCTTTTTACTTGATGTGCTGATATGAGGTGTGGCAACTCGGACCGTTACGCAGTAATGCCTGGTTCTATGTTGATATTGATTGATTGGTTGTTAAAATATATTCAAAACTAGTTGTCATTTTAAATCATCCGGTTACGTAGATATGCGACATTAACCACAAATAGGTCGACTAGAAATCATATTATAGGAAGTTCTTTTATCAACAGAAATATTCGGATTCTCATCATGTAGCTAAACCGCACTGTGATCACTGTATTCGTTACAGGTTTTTGGCTGGTTACTGGATGGTTGTTTGTTGTCAAGGTGGTTCAGACTGAGACGAACTAGTTGTACAGTAGTGCCTCACTTATATTATCAATCTGCTGAAATCAGACAAAGCAGCAGAACCATATGGGATTCCTCCAGAAGCACTGAAAACAGAGGCAGAGACAACAATAGACATGCCCACACCATTACTCCAGAAGGTTTGCAAGGAAGGAAGAAAAGGTACCTGCAGATTGGAAGAAGGGCTACCTTGTCGAACTATCAAAGAAGGGAGACCTAAGCCTTTAGAAGAACTGGGGAGGAATCATGCTGCTGTCCCTGTCCACCTTAAGTAAAATATTAGGCTATATCATCCTGGAGAGACTAAAGAATGAGCTGGATTCAAAATTACGACCAGAACAGGCTGACCTCAGGAAGAAAAAATCATGTGCGGACCAAATTGCAACTCTACGCATCATTATAGAACAGAGCATAGAATGGCAGTCAATTTTCTACCTCAACTTCATCGACTCTGAGGAAGCCTTCGACAGCGTCGACTAAGAAGTAATTTGGCAGTTGCTTCAACACTACGGTTTTAGTGCCACAAATCTTTATCAACCTCATTCAACAGCTACATGAAGCGCCACATGCCAAGTGATCCACAATGGAAAGGTCAGTGACACCTTCGAAGTGAAGACAGGTTGACAGGTAAGACAAGGCTGCCGCCTACTGTCACCGATGATCTTCCTGATTGTGGTCGACTGGACTGGGTCATGCAGCAAACTGTGAGGAGCGAGAAGATGATCATACGCTGGCTGGACCGATGAGAAGAGTGTGGAAGATTTGGATTTCGCCTATGATGATGATTTATGTCTGATGTCTTGTAGCACAAACTGGAAGATCTACAGGTGAGAACTAAGAAGTCGGCAGAAGAGGCAGGGCAGCGAAGATGGGACTTCAAGTGAATGCAGAGAAGACGGAGGTGATGAAGATACCCAACCAACAACAGCATGAACAACAAGCACCAATCACCGTGAACGGAAGAGATCTGAAGGAAGTAGTCTCTTTCACCTACCTAGACAGCATCTCTTCAACTACAGGTGGTGGTCCAGATGAGGATGTCAAAACCAGGATTGGAAAAACAAGACAGGCCTTCATTGATCTGAAATCAGTGTGGAGATCTACTGCGCTCAGCATAAAGCGTGAACTAGATCCAGATTTTCAACATTAATTCAGTCAAGTCAGTGCTTCTATGTGATGGTTCAAAAAGTTGGCTTGTCACGAAGGCATTTGCAGCATACTACAGAGATACATGAACAGCTACCGCCTCGGTCACTGGATACTGAAGATCAGATCAGATGGCCAGAATAATAGGAATGAGCAAGAAGAAACTCTGGCTGGCGACGAACCAACCAAGAAGCTATCATGCATTAAATATGCAGAAGAAAGTGGAGATGAATTGGATTGGGCATACACTGAGGAGACGGATTGGGGACATCACGCGCCAGGCCAGGCCAGGCCGTCGAGTGGAATCGGAAGGGGGAGACGACGAGTTGGCGTCCGAGGAGTGGGTGACATGAAGGAGATCGTTTGAAGAAGAAAATGAAGGCTTGTGGGTAGTCGTGGAGCGCGGTTGAAAAGACTGCAGAGAAGAGAGTGCAATGGAGGCGTGCAACAGAAGCCCTATGTCCCACCAGGAACCTAAAGGAAAAATAATTCTCATTAATTCTTCATACTGCAATATAACTGTCTGTATTTTTGCCATTCACTGGCGTTTCTAATAGTTTCATATGGAATATATCCTTGGTTATGTGTATGAAGGCGGACACGGGAACAGTAACCTTCAGTTTCCACTCTTGATGGTTGCCCAGTTTCGTGATAAATGGCAAAGATAACAGATGTAATGCAAGGCGAAAGATATATATATATATATATATATATATATATATATATATATATATATATATGTCTTGACTATATGCAGGCCTTTCTGGGAGATCATACCCTATTTATTTTGCCTCTTCAACTAATCTGATATCTACCGCAGGTTCTCGTGCCTCTCGAAACTTCAAAGGTACACGATTAGTTAGGGAAAGCTGCACGAATTTTCGGCTTCTTAAGCGGATCTGTACACTTATCGCACATTGGGATTATGTTCAGGAAAGGTACTCGTGGTTGACAGATGTATGTGTATTTTCCATCCTTTTCGAAACTTTTATATCTTATCGATGGTACACATTGACTCCAATCGGAATTTAACTCAACTGCAGCTACTACAATGAGAGAAGATAATCTATTTGATTTGAAGTGGCTTACTTCAAACGCGAAAGCTAAAGTTTGTATACTGCACCGTTGTTTACATACATTAAGTGTTTTTCTGGTTGTCAACAAGAATACTTTATTAGAAGCATAACCAGTGGGCGAAGGAAGTGATGCTAAAGGTAGTAGAAACTATTGTTTAGTTTGGCGAAAATAGGTGTAGTGAAAGGGGAATGTCAGTAGTGGATGATAATTTATAAAAATTAAGAGTTGGGGATCAATGCCTAAGGAGATAACACTCTCAAAATTAGTGTGCTGCATGCTCCAGGATCGTGAAATAAGCAGCCAATTCTCTTCCTATCGTTGTCGAGGATTCCAAAGTGACAGTGAAGTTTAGTTAATGCATATTGTAAAGCTGACGTATATGAGTTTATCATGCATGTGAAAAGTGAGTCTGATATTTACTTATTAAAATGAGGTTTTTAAATAACTGTTCCTTAGCTTTTCCTTCAACTTTCTTTATTTTAGATGATGAAATTTGCTTGGAATGGTTATGCCACATATGCATGGGGAAGCAATGAATTGAAACCGATTGCAAAAATGGGTCACTTGCCTTCTGTACTTGGTAGTCTACCGATGGGGGCTTCATTAATTGATGGTCTGGACACTTTGTACATAATGAACTTGAATAAGGAGTTCGACGGTGCTGTAGAATGGATTGAAAATAGTTTGGATTTTGATAAGGTAGGTTACATCTATTTCATCAAATTAATGTATCTGTTCGAGGTTTATCTTTTTACTCAGAAGAATTATCTTGTCGGATTTCCCAGGTGATCACAAATAAATTAAGCGAATCGATGACAACTTTTAAGTTAACTCATATCTAAATAGCATTTGTGGATGACTAACGCTGAGATCTGGTCATCAAATTTCGGAATAATCAGTGCCTCTGTGTCTTACTAAGTGTAACTGTTCTCACTAACTTCCAAATTTTGCATCGATCTTTTAAAGCACTAAATTATATCGTCACATTAGCTTACTGAATTTCACTAAAAATTGTTGATTTATGATTTTAGCAAACCAAGTATATGAAACTTATTTTCTTAAAGAGGTAGTACCACCATAATAACTGAAGTGATTTGTGATTTTGAGTCCAAGTATAAAACTCTTAAGTTTCCAAGACATCTCACAAATAAATGAGTTGCAAATACAAATTAAAGTGGATAATAGGTTATGTTGGTAAACACTTAAACGTTATCAATCCTTTATTTGCAGCATAACTAAGAAATTTTTATAGTACAGTACGTACAACTAGTTGCTTTTTATTCGTTGACCAAAGTGCCATGATTTTTCTTGCTAACTGTTATCAGGATTGTTGAAATGCTTCATGTTTCCATGACATGAAACACTGAAATCACTAAAATCCAGTAAAAAAAGTTGAAATAAGCTCGAAGATATCGTTTAATTCCCCATCTCATTTATCTAAGTGATTACCGGTGAAAAATTTGAAAGCAACTAATTTTTCCAACCTGTAATTTGTGATTCATAATGCTAAGTATGGACACACTGGGAAGTAAATAGATTGAAAGAGATAAATTGAAGAGATAAATTGAACTATATATACAATTTCAATGGTGTGTATTAGATCGTTTAATTTCGATAAACCTTCTCGTATTATATGCTATCTGCTAAACTGCTTTAGAATTTTCGCTGTTAATTTATGCTTAACTTCTTGACAAGAAATCAATATATATAAATCTCTCTTTTCCTTTTTGTTATCTAACATGTCTTAGTTGTGGAGATATGTGGATTTTAACTTGTCAGTTTAGCCTGTTCCACTTGCATAATATCCTAAATGTCGTTATGCGGTCTAGAGTAGGTAGGGTTTACTTTTCAATTAAAACGCTTTCTCATGATCTTACATTCAGGCTTTCTAAGGAGTCCTGTTTTATTACTTTCACATGACAATAGGCTTTCTAGAAATGTGGAAACAAATTTCCGCTGTTTATCACTGAATCAGTGGGTACGAAAGCACCGTCTGTGGTTTTGGGGTGATGAGAAGCTCATGAACACAGGTGCTAATAATGCTGCGCTACACTGCAGATCCAGCTTGAAATCTCTGTTCAACCATGTTCTCCGAAAGAACCGATAATCCGACACTGATTCTTTCTTATGGTAACTGATAGCAATATTATATGTTTGTATTCATTGTTGAGTTGATGTAAGTAAACCCCTAGATCACACAGTATCCAACTGTTCAGTTGACTAGAACAGGTTATCGACAACTATTTTTTGGGATTCTGTCGAAAAGGGCACTTCCTAACCGGGAAATTGATACCACTCACGTACATCTGCATGGTCACGAGAATTGATTGTTAAGTCTCCAAGTAAGGGTAGGTGAGGCTATTTCTCATTGGTCTGGAGAGTCATGATGTTCAATCATAGGTTTGAAGTACACTCTATGTACCATATTTTAGACAGCTAGATATCATAAGCCCTCATAAATTAGGCGTAGTTCGTTGCCCAGTGCACGAACTTGCACTGAGTTACTGAGCTACCCTAACACACTGATTTAATACACTTGCCGTCCTGGTCAGGCGAGGTAAAGTGAATAACCACACTCAAATCCTACATATTTCTCAGATCCACAAAATATGTGACCCAGAATGCTGAATTATCCCTATTTTGATATGATCTTTTGCATCAAATAAAAACCGTATGAGTAATCTTGAGGTTAGGTAGCACTTTTTCCGGCATGACAATGATGGTAACTCAATAAATGAACTTATCTTGAAACGCTGACTTTGATATCTTGGACGTGTTACGAATATCGTGCCTGTGGCTTCCATACTATTCACTGTCTGATATGCTTTAAATAAACAGTAATTGTGTAGGGTTAGCATATGTTGGCGCACCATGATTCTGTAGTTGGGGTCTAAGATATCGCGCGACTTCATGGCTCTAAATATTATCAGATATAACTATCAATCATATCCAGTAGCTATCATATTGTAACTTACTTGTTTCTCATGCTATCGAAAAGTGACATGAAAGCAATGAACTCTATTTACGCGTCATTTTAAGGCTTCTACTCACCATTGTGTTATTCTTTAGGCCTCCTTTCTTATCATATCTCCATATTGTTTAGTTATTTTCGTTTGTTGATGTATATATATGCGACTGATATGGGGTAATATCAGTGTATGCTTTATGCACACTATAGTAGTATACGTGATTCCAAGTTTAATTTTAATAAATTATGTTTTTTATACAAAAATGTAGCAAGAATCTGCCGGCTTCAAAAGGACGAAAAAAATAGTGTATTTTATCAAGCTTGCCTAATCATATTCGAAGTTTCTTTTATGCTAAGAATTCCGAAAGAAACAGTCTGCTTATTACGACACATTATAAACAAAATGGTTATTAATTTTATATCGGGTGACTGTTTTGCTTTGTTTAACACTTATAAGCAAAATATTGTTAATTTTTTAAATTTGTCCATTAGATACAATGCATTACTCAAAGACACCTACAACAGTACTAGTGGTTTACAAGCTGTTTTAGTGATGTACACGCACATATACTGCATGCATTTTCCACTTTATAATCACTTAAAATCATAATGTAGCTTAGATATGTACTGTGCATGCCGAACCACTGCTTACCTCGCCGAGCACTGCTAGAGGAAGTTGGATTTTATTGAAAAACAGTTCATGGTGACCAAACCAAGAAGTGGCACAAGTCGACAAAGTGTCTAATTGTATGGCAGGGTATATTGCCTGTCTGAGGTCGCTGAGACTAAAGGAATCATTAGTTGAGAAGTCTTGGTGACATGACTGAAAATCGGTCACAATGGCACAGAGGTGTATTCACTCCATAGCATCGGCTTAAGTTTGAATATTTCCACTAACTGTTATCCTCAGATTGTTTATTTTCTCACACAGCTTTGTTTGCTTTGATATCGCCTTTGTTTTATCTACCTGTTCTTTGTATTCTACTGTGAATTGTGTCAACTTGAGCCACTCCACTTGTATACGAGGTTCTACTTTGGTTTTGTCTGTCTGTTTATATTCTAACAGGACAGCACTACTACTTCTTGGTATTAATCCTTTACGGATAATTTGATGCCACGTTGACTTTGAAGATTTGAAATTTTGAACTTAAGCAAATGATGGGGAATATTTATAGCTCAGATTGAGGATGAGGATGGTTTGATGCTCTGGGCTTTGTTGTCTTGCCGTGAATATTTCATCATCAAGCTTGGTGAATCCCTGAGCACTAATTGGACGTAATTACATCAATGGTTTATACAACAATGTTGAAGCCCAAATTCCTAATTTGTGAGTATGAAAAACGCGAAATTCTCACTATTCTCAACCATTAAAAATGTGATGTTAAGGTGTCCTAATCCGATCACAGAATATATCTGATATAAAGTTCATTTCTGTAAAAATAGAGTGGAGAGAAGAAGAAATTAAGTTCTTAAAATCTTCGCACCAAGTTCAAATGTGTCTTTTCAATTAACTGGGAAATTCTTTTGAGTTCTGGTACACTTATCGCTTCAAAATCATGTACTGTGGTATAGTTTTCCAACCCATCGCGTCTATGAAAATACAATGTTGATTCACCACGAGTCACAGTGTATTGTAATCTTTGAAACAAAAGCAAGGATTTGCACCAACAAATCTTAGCTTCATATAATTCTTCCCGTTGATAAACTTGAACAGCTCAGAAAAAAAAGTTGCAGTATAATATGAGGTCATTTTTATTCCTCCGAAGGTTCTCAACTGCTTACGGCCTAAACAGTATTAAAATGTCCATATAACGATAACTGAGCATACAAGTTGACATGAAGTTATTGACAGGATCAATAGGTAACATAGATAGTGTAAATGATTCAGGTAGAGGAGATCGTTAAGAATGTGAGAGGAAGACTGACCGTTTATAAGATTATTAGGTGACTATTCTTGATTGACAGGTGTTTGGAAAATAACGATGATTGGATGCGTAGCTTAAATGTGTTATGAATTTCCAAGAGGTTGACGAATAAGGTGAGCAAAGTTCGGATAAAATACTAACTATTGAAACAGAACAAAATATGCAGGTTAAAGTGACAACAAAAACTTGCGTGCATTTTATTGACAACAAATTATCGCGGTAGTCCGAGGTTGATAACCATATCTTCTTGAGCATACATTTTGTTGAATTTCCTTGATGGATATCTCTCCAGTAAAATTTAATAAGTTTGTTTTCTTTTGCCTAATGATTACTTTGGATGATTTGACGCTCTCAACAGTGGCCAGTATCAGCTTCATAAAAAAATCTTTTCAAACTAAATCCTATAGACTTAGCTTCATATTGCGTTAATGTTATCGCTTGGCATCCTAAAATCATACTTAACTTTAAAAAGCTTGTAGTCATTCGCTTCACTCTGTCTTAAAGCCAGTGATCAATGCACCTCAATTCTGTGGTATCACTGTAAAGTTGGCTGGTGGAAAACATGTGCTTAGTATTCGGACGTTTTAACTTGTAGTGTTCGAAAAATCATTTCATTAACGGTTTCACATCTGATACCAATGTCTCTTGTTTTCCGTAGGTTAGTCTAAGAATCTCTGACAGTCAGAAAAGTAATTTGTTTCCTCTGGAATTGCATTTATGATATAGCTGAGTGAATATTTTGGTTACTTTCAATCGTCCAACACTAATTACAAAATACCTTACGTCGAGTTACTCAGCGATCACAACGTTGTCGGTAGGATTTAATCACCGTTGTTTGCCATCATCAAACGATATATCTTAGATGTTTCTTCATTATCTTCCGTACCTTCATTGGTGTTCGAATGCAAATCCTTCTCAGGTGTGACGTTGGCATCTAAGAGGGATATCACCTGATCACGTTGAAACACTATCCTTAGATGAGATAATGTGTGCAGTGCCATATCTTGGATACTAAGTTTGAAAACATTGTGCTACATTCAAACAGTAGGTCTCAAGATCGAATCCCACTCCTGCTTCTACCTGAAGCGCCGATTAGTATCATAAACCCTAAGACAATATTGTTCGGGTTGAATTGCATTTGTTATTTAGAACTAGTTTTTAACGGAAATCATTGACTTTAAACTCCATAAGCCTGTAAATCATTTGGCTGTGTAATACTTCCATCAGCCTCTTTAGTAATATAAATGTGTGGTTTGAAATTAGTCAATATACAAACCAGTTGATTCTCAATAAATTCTTGCCAGAGAAAATAATAGTGAATGCTCTATGCAAATGGTGCATGAGTTATCATTCTACTTTATTTTTGATAAGCTATCTGTCTACTGCGTACTGCTGAGGAGTCCCATACTAGGACGAAACAGCTGTCCAGTGCTCCCAGATTTTCAATGGTTTCCCAACTGATGTCAGTCCATGATGAATACTACTTCTAAATTAAAAATCCCCATTCATCTCAAAATACATTATCTGTCTACTGTTCAAAAAGTGATCCCATAAAAATTTATATATACATAATCCACAGAGTACTTAATAATTGTTTCGAAAAATAAAGTTTTGAAATTACTTTCAGCCCAGTACTGTGTCAGTATTCGAATTCAATATCAGATATCTTGGTGGCCTACTGTCAGCGTATACATTCACTCAAAGACCTGTAAGTGTATTTGTGCGAAATTCGTCTGTTTTTACACGTTAAAGTAAAATGAAATAGGTGAAAATAACCACATGTTCATATATTTTTTTTGTACTTTATTATTGGTGATGATTGAATTAATCGATTACTCCTTCAGTTGAGTTATCTAACTGAAATCAACTAAGACATTCTCATTATTTGATGAGCATAATTCCTTCCCACTTTCAGTAACAACCATTTGATGACTCCAAAATGTCTTGAAACTTTACTTATATATATATACTTGCATACAGTAGAGCTTTATTATTCCTAAAAGGGCTTTCATCGCACCTTGTTACACGTCGACAAATAGGTTACTAATAATTAGGACGAAACAGCTGTCCAGTGCTCCCAGGTGTCCTTTGTTCCTCCAACTGATATCAGTCCACGATGAATAACAACTTGAAAATCCATACGGTTACGTTAAACTGTTCCCCAAGCAAAAGTTTTGTTGGAAGATATGGTTAGATTTCGAATGATTTAGTTCGATGATCTGGGTTTTTTTCAAACAGAAAAGGTTATTATTCTTTTTTAAAATTTAAACGAATCAGAAATTTCGAGGGAATAAAAGTAGGGAGATCGTAAAATACAATTTCGCCGTATTTAGACCAAACTGCCAACTTAAGTCGTCCACAACCTATAGGAAGGCAGTGTATATAAACTTGAGATGATAAAAATAACTTAACAGAATATCCCTTCGTAATTTAGAAGTGGCACCATTTATCAAAGTAGCCATCCGATTAAGTGACTTACATTTTACGCCAAAATGACACCCAAGTTAGAATTATTTCAAGGAGGGAAAATGCAAGTCCTTAAATATGAGTTTGAGAGCTCCTTACTTTTCACTCTCTATCCAAAACAATATGTATTACGTTTCTATAAGCTACCAAAGATTTATAAACTCATATTCTTTTGAAACCTATGATAGGGTTCATAAACATTCCAACGCATAAACGCCCTTCCGAATATCTTCCATCCACATCAGAATCTCGCGAACATTCCATTATAAGCTCAATCAATAACTGAACTTACCGTTGCGCTGAATGTAACAATAAATATTAAGATAAGGTATCGTTACTTAGTAGTATTCCTATTGCATGTTGTATAGATTACATAAGGCGATAATCACAGACTTTCAATCAGATATCCTCTCACTTTCAATATAGCTACCTTACGATCATTGTTTAACCCAGGTCTTTGCATGTTGCGGTGGAGTGTGACAGCTTGAACCAAGGAAATTCTATGTCAGATTTTACCCATATTTTTCTATCTGCCACTACAATGGATAAATTGTTAAGTTGAACCGAGAAGAAAGACTCACATGATGTATGTTGGTTGGAGGCAACCGACAGAAAGCCCTGGACCTAGGTTTCTTGCTTTGATGGCACTTGTCATCACGGCGTATCTTTGCAATCTTGGAATAAATGATATTCCGTCTGAGATTAACCCAGGTTATTCAGTGTCACAGTCAGAGAGGTAATCATTGAATAGCTCAGTGGTTACGTCACTGACTGCAGCACTGAGTGACGTGTGTTCGAATTTCAGACGGAACACCAGTTCATTCAAGGTTGCAGATACGTCTTGTTGACGAATACCATCAAGCACGAAACCTAGATCCAAGATCCAGCAAACATCTATTGAAGTGTATCGCGATGTTGAGTCAGCTAGTCTGCTGGCCGCTTTGCAAAATGATCAATAGAATCCTATCAGGACTGGACTACATGAAGTTGGTTGCACTCCAGTGACCGATCCGTAGACTTACATTATCTTTGCAATTTCATGCTAATAATAGAATGACTAACTGCATTCTTCGGTTTCATTCGAACGATACTTGGTGCTGAGTAACACTGCTACATACAAGAAAAGCCATTGTTAAATTGAGTAACTGCAAAATATACCCAATAGTGAATGCAGATTTTTAATATTGCCACAACGTCTCGTCACAGATTTTTTGAACAATCACCACCCTGATACAGTAAGGAAGATTTCTAACCTAACCTGGGGATGAATCGTCCAAGACCCAAACCTCAAGGCTCTAAAAGCACCAAACAATTCAAATTATCTACCCCCGAATGGTCACAGGAAACGAACATTTGTAAATTCTATCGTCATTCGACTTGAAATTAAAAAAGTCAGTTTGTATATAGAGAGAAAATAAAAAAATTCGTATCTAGATATCACTCGTTTTCGTCTTCGTGTATTCCAGCGTAGTATTCAGCCTACTATAAAAGAAGCTGTCAAGAAAATAAGATCCAAGAAAAGACTGGTAAAATACAATAGATCACTCTATCCTCATTCGAACCAATTGATGTGTAAGGACTTATTCGTTCTGGATCTGTTAGCGCTGAGAAGAGAAGCATCTTAAACTCTCGATGAGTCTTCGTTAAATACCGAAAGTAACAGTAGGTGACGAAAGCTAACGAACTGGATACGATAATATGGCCAGGTAATTCTTTGCATATATACAAACGTGTTAATGAGATTGACACAAAGATGACTAAGTTAACTATAAGAGTAAAACCTAGGCGTTGGTAGGACGTAATTTCATTCTCACCGACTTTTAGATGTATCACACAGTGAAGCAGCATTATTTACTGGATCGCGTATCAGATGCAATTAGCAGTATAACAGTGATATCAAACTCGAAAAAGTTGTGTGAGAGAATAAGCAATTTGAGCCACTTTAAAGAGTAAATATTTGAATGTATTACTTTTACATTTTTTTCTAAAACCCTACCTATTCTATGTTTATGTAAAATAGACGACAGTTATTTGAAACAATGCGAGAGGTTCGTTGCTGAGATTGATGGTTGGTTTGGTGTTCTCTGATCTCTAATGTTTCATCACCAGGCTTGCTGACGTACTCAACACTAATCTCATAAAGTTTATGAATTTAGTGCTGAGGATATCACCAAACCTGGTGATGAAACAGCTCAGAGAACACCGAAGCACCATCGAACTGAAGTTGTGCTGTGAAAATGTTTTTTCCCATTAAAAGAAATACTCTACAAGTACAAGTGTAATTTTCGTGATTGAATATCGATTTTGTCGTAAATCTACTATTTTTTTTGTTTTAATTTTTGTATTCTAGATCCTACTTAAGAAAGCGGTTGAACTTGCTCAACGTTTATTACCTGCGTTTGAAACACCTAGTGGGATTCCAATGAGTCTAGTCAATTTGAAAACGTAAGCGAACTATTGTTTACTTCTGTAAATATCTTGACTAAGGTATAATTCGATAGTTGAGGATTGAGCAGGTAGTTTCTGTTAGAAATATGTTCGGGTAATCCCATTACTGTAGTTAGGTGATTTTTTGATGTTCATGACGTTTATGGACTTCACCTCAATGGAGATGTTTTAAAATGTCTAAGACGTATCATTTACTTAGTGAGTTTTTGCAATTCAATTTTGTTCTGGTAATAATTATTTTTAAGAAAGTAGCTCTAAGTGATTGAGTTGTTGAGTGTCTTTTAATTAAAGAACCCACTTTTTATATGCTGCACTTTCGATGATTCAGCTTGTACTTTATTAGTCCTGTTAGTACGACTACTGTTCCTGTTGTTTTTGCATCAGTTTATATCGCATAAAAGAGTGCTTTGCTATGACTGCCTAGTTTTTATATCGTAAGAAAAACCAATTTCTTTGTAACTTGAAGCTAAAATAGGATTTAATTGCGTTCTACTACTTTCATCAGTCGTGTTCCAAGGAGATTGCTTGTTAGAATCTCTTCCCACGTACGGAGTTGTTTTTGATCAGTTAGTATAATTGACAGTGTGGTTCATGTTGTAGTTAGTACATGATCTAAGAAAACTAACTGAGATCACTGTAGTATTTTGTGAAGAAAACACTCAACAGGAGGTTGTTTCGCCTATTAAGTGTTCGAGCGTATATGGTGTAGGCACTTGATTTCCAGCCCCTGGGTCATGGTTTGAACCCAGTTTCATCCAACGGGTTTTAAGCACTCAGGTAGTATCATTAGCCATCACAATAAGTGTAGCTCATTGCCTACTGTACGAACGTGTGTATGGCTGCTGGGCAGATTTCGATTCAACCGTACCACATTTTGTGAATAGTTAAGACTCATATTTGTTATAAAACATTCAGTACGTAGTATTTATCATCATTAATTTTGAAAAACTTTCTTCCCATATTGATTTCAGCAATAGTTCACGTACAATTGATAAATGCGCCTATAAGCTAAGCTTCCACGACTACTCGTTCACAGTAACCTTGGTTATATATGGTTTATCACAGGAACTATAATTTATGCCATATGTATCCTTATCCTCATATCAACTAACTCAACTCGAGATATAATCGGAAACTGATATCCTTGTATTTGTATGGAGACAGTATTCCACCATATTTTAACTTACTCAAGTCACAATTAGCTGGTTTGGTTTACGCATCAGCTGTTACTACACATTTTACTTTTTTCGCTCACATCATTCTAGCACCCGAAGTAATGAGTCTTCATATTGATAAGTCACGATTACTTAATCGTAAAATCTTGCTATGTTACTTCCCCGATATAGTCGTGGTTCTCCTGGTTAACAATAGATGATAGTAATCCCCTTCTAGTTAATATCGACTGTTTTTCCTCGAAAGTGGGATACAGCGTTCAGGACACATCACTAAATCATACAATTCAGCCTATTTATATTTGTTTAACAATCAGCTAAAGAAATCTGTTTTGTAGACATTATTTCTAACAAAATAGCTTTTTTCATTATACAAGTAAGTTTTAATATAATCCCAGCGTGTTCTAAAAACACTTAATAAATTGTTCTAAAACCTGAATCAGTGCTCAACTTGGATCACTTCATCGGTAACAACTATGGCATGGATGTTTATAAAATAGCTTCTCATCACCTTGATCACTAACATGTAGCGTAATTCTTTCTATTAATTGTGAAATAGGTCAAGCCTTTTTTCTTGTACCTAGTCTTCATGTTATTATTGCTTGGTTGATCATTTGTTGAATGAAGATGCTTCAATACAAAGATCTCTCGTAATTCCTAAAGAGAAAATTAACCGCGATTGTTAAAAATATATTGGTTGAATGAACTTAACTAAATTTGTTTACAGTGCGTAGGTAGGACACTAAAAGAATCATTTTCTACATCTTACAACTAGCATTTTTATTGTTAAAAATATCTAGAACCTACCTTGCTTCAAAACTATATTTTGTGATAATCCAACTATACTGATTATTGAATTCCCTGTAATTAGCCTATCTTACTTAACAAACCTTTCGTAAAATAAGAATAGACATTCCACCGCTCTCTGTGCAATACAGTTATCTGTAATCATGTTTTTAGATCGCCATAAGAAGTAATTCTTTCCCTGCATCTCATAATCCTTGATATACATTTCCAAATCTTCCTTTACTGATTGTAATCACCAGGTAATCTTCTGACCCATCGCATCTCAAACATATCAGTATCCATTCTCGATATCTTTTCACACATAAAAAACATACTAGTTCTCTCCATCTTTCTAGTGATTTCTGGTATAAAATCAGTAACTGATACGCGTACGAACTCCTGAAAAACAACCTTTTGATTCCACCCTTACAGGTCTATTGGTTTTTCAAAAACAAAAGGATAGTAAAGCGGCAAAAGGTGTTTGATACTCGTATTCTCCCGTTGCTTTTCTGGGTCGAATCGCTCGAACCCTGTAGGCACATGGGCTCCGATGCGCATGCCTCGATACTGCCCGATTACTCATTATGTTTTAAGCTGCTTGGTGACCATCAGTAGAATCCAGGACGTGCGTTTCGTCTTATTCGGAACTCGTCGTCTGGATGTACCCAACTTAGTGGATAACGCTCTGGCGTTTGAAGCTATGGGTATGGGGTTCGAGTCTCGGTTGGAATGACATCACTCACTGTTGGGCAGGTACACCCAGCTGACGAGTCTTAAATATGACGAAACGCGCGTCTTAGATTCCACTGCTAGCTACCAGCCAGATAAAGAAGTATTAAAAGGTTTACTTTCAAGTCGGAACGTATAAGAAACACGACGGCATGTATATTTTTGCAACCATCTTGATATTTTTAAACTTTTTTCCCTAATGATATGGTTCCATTAACCAACCTGAAGCTCTCAGGTATGAACATGTGGGTTTTCACAAATGTTCTCCATTTGATTATTGGTCTTCTGTGACAAATATCCGTTTCACTGCAATTATCAAATCAGGACCTTATTTGATTTATGTG